CAACATCCTCTCCTCATTCCAGGGGATCCCAGTCCCCAGCATCCCCCCCATTATCCTCTCCCCATCCCTGGTATCCTCCCCAGTATCCCTCCCAGTATTCCCAGCATCCTCTCTCTAATCCCAGAGGATCCCAGTCCCCAGTATCCCTCCAACATCCTCAGCATCCTGCCTGAATCCCAGGGGATCCCAGACTCCAGCATCTCCCCAGTATCCCCTCCAGTATCCCCAGCATCCTTTCCCCATCCCAGGGGATCCAAGTCCCCAGCATCACCCCAGTATCCCTCCCAATATCCCCAGCATCCTGCTCACATCCCAGGGGATCCCAGTCCTTGGCATCCCCCCAGTATCCATTCCAGTATCCCCAGTATCCTCCCCATGTCCCTGGGGATCCCAGGCCCTGGCATCCCCCCAGTATTCCCAGCATCCTCTCCCCATCCCAGGCCATTCCAGTCCCTGGCATCCACCCAAGTATGTTCCCCAGTATCCCCAGCAACCTCTCCTTTTCCCAGGGCATCCCAGTATCCCAAACATGCTCCCACCATCCCAAGAGATCCCAGACCCCAGGATCCCTCTTCCCAGGGCATCCCAGTCCCTGGCATCCCCCCCAGTATGCTCCCCAGTATCCCCAACATCCTCTCCTTATGCCAGGAGATCCCAATCCCCAGCATCCCCCCAGTATCCCCAACATACTGTCCCCATCCCAAGAGTTCCCAGATCCCAGTATCCCTCTTTCCAGGGGATCCCAGTCCCTGGCATCCCTCCCAGTATCCCCAGAAGGGATCCCAGTCCCTGGCATCCCCCCAGTATCCCCAGCAACCTCTCCTTTTCCCAGGGCATCCCAGATCCCAGTATCCCTCTTTCCAAGGGATCCCAGTCCCTGGCATCCCCCCAGTATCCCCAGCAACCTCTCCTTTTCCCAGGGCATCCCAGTATCCCAAACATGCTCCCACCATCCCAAGAGATCCCAGATCCCAGGATCCCTCTTCTCAGGGCATCCCAGTCCCCAGTATTGCCCCAGTATCCCCTGCCATGACTCACTGGAAACCAGTTGGCTGACGGTGGGGGTCTCCGAGCAGGTGATGGGGACGGGGGTGGCAGAAGCCTTGGCTACTGGTGCAGGGTTTGCCACCACCACGGCTGGCTGGGAGAGCGCCGGAGCTGGCTGGATGGGCTGGACCTGGGGCAGAGGGGAGGGTCAGCACCCCCAGAGCAGGGGGTCCCCCTTTTCCAGCCCCACAGCCACCAGCTCCAGAGAGTGGACACCACGTTTGCTGACAGTGGAGGTGCGACAGGCTGGGATGGAGAAGTGACACTGGAAACCACCCAGTTTCGTACTGGGAATGGGGATGTGTCAATTGGGAACTAGGTTTGGGGTGTCCTGACACGTAGGTTTGGGGGCAACCAGCACCTCTGCTCACGCCAAGGTGATGCTTGGTCTTTCTCATCCCACCTGGGAAATCTGGAGAGCAGGATGCTCTATGGGGCACCACTGTGGGGCAGGAGGTGACGTGTCCCAAACATGCTCAGAGGTTCCCAAAGCAACATGGCCAGGTCCCAAAGCAACGTGGTTGGGTCCCAAAGCAACGTGGTCGGGTCCCAGAGCTGCTCATGGGTTCCCAAAGCAACATAGGTGGGTTGCAAAGCAACGTGTCCAGTTCCCAAAGCTGCTGATGTGCTCCCAAAGCAACCATGGCCAGGTCCCAAAGCAACAAGGTTGGGTGCCAAAGCAATGTGGTTGGGTCCCAGAGCTGCTCATGAGCTCCCAAAGCAAGGTGGCCAGGTCCCAAAGCCACATGGCTGAATCCCAAAGATGCTTACGTGCTCCAAAAGCAACATGGCTGCATCTCAAAGATGCTCATGTGCTTCCAAACCAATGTGGCTGGGTCCCAAAGATGCTCACATCCTCCTGAAGCAATGTAGGTGGGTCCCAAAGCCACATGGTCAGGTCCCAAAGGTGCTCATGTGCTCCCAAAGCAACGTGGCCAACTCCCAAAGGTGCTCATGTGCT